CACCACACCACAGCGCGGCCCCGCCGCCGCCCCACCCCCCGCCACGATCGTGGGCGATGGTCAAACATAAGGCTGAAGGGAAAAGTTTATTACTTGAAGCTCAGCCAGAACCAAAATCCTGCAAAGAACAGCCAGGGAGAAGCAGCCAGTACCTACGCAGGTGCCCATAATGCCCATGATGTCATCTGAAGACAACCACCCTTTACCTCTAGTTTTGCCAGGAAAACAAATGTAGGTACCCTTTTAGAGCTGGTAGGCCTCCCCCACCTCACAGGGAGAAGATAAAACAGCTCCTAAAACTGAGCATTAAAACCTGTATACCTAAATTGCCACAAAGTTTACAATGCCACAGTGTGTGTTTTGGTTATCTAGGCTTTGTAGCACCAACATAATCTTCAGGTCTAAAACACAGTCACTGTAGTAATGGAAAAATGATATTTCCCATTGTCTCAAATAAAGAGAAAACATAGACAAGACTCATAATTCCACTAATAATTACATCACTCCTGACAGCACACCACATCTGGATACCTGAAGACAGCTGCCTTGACAATTAAGCAGGTAAAAGAAACAGGATTTTTTATTGATTTGTTTTTTTCAATCAGCATCATCTTAGGTAAACTGGATTTGCTATGTATTTACCAGTGTCCTGGGCAGTTCATAGGCTTCAGAGCAAAGATTTCTTTCTCCACTTCAAAGGAAAACATGTTGTCACTATAATGCTGCCAGTGTCCTGAAGTAATCCATAGTTTGCTGTTGAAAACATTTGGTGTGACAACCTCCTGGAATCCACGTTTTCGATACTCACTCTAAAACAAAAGACCCAGTGCATAAAATAACTAAAAAAGCAAGCAAAAGTAATGGTACTCAGCCTTCAATCTGCAGCCATAAAAATGGACAAATGCTGCCCTACAGAAATTCATTACTCCAGAAGGGGAAAAGGAGAGAAGAGGAAGAGAAAAATTCAAGTTGGACATGCGAAGATACATCCCTCACACCAGCACCACCCTTCCCCCAAACCATTCCTTTGTAGTAAGCAAGAAGAACAAGTTCTCTCTCTGCAAGCAAAGCAGCAGTCTCTAATTATTCAGTGACAATGGACAGTACATTGCAGCCCAAATATACACTAATAAGACAGACTTTAAATATTGCAACAGGAAGATCAGGGCTTGGTTTTTTTTGCCTACATATAATTTAATAACAAATAGTTCTACAAAGACAAATTTAATAAGTTTATTAAAACAAATTAATATGCATCAGTGGAACAGCTGCGGTGTGAGCTTAGCTGTATGAATAGAAGTCAAAGAATTCCTATTAAAAAACATCATTATTACTGCTTCAACTGCAGATATAAAGTTTTCATAAAAATGTAACTTAGCAGGAGATTGTGACAAGACCAATTCAAGGAAATCGGTTTTCTTTAATTCTGTGGCTTATAGAACTTAGAGATTAAACCAACCTGAAATGAAGGACTGTTAATACTGTTACATGTAGCATGCTGTTATATATTTTTCTAAAATTAAGCAATTTCTTCTATAACAAGATTTCCAAAACACATTACTTACCCGGATGAACTCAATTAAAGTGTTATAAATGTAAGCTCCTTTTGGCAAGAAAAAACAGCTACCAGGGCTGAGCTCATGAAAGAAAAACAGTTCTTGGTCCTGCAGAGTAACAGTATTTGAAACACTTAGTATTTGCACACCACGTTTTCACCTTAACATTAAAAAATAAACTACTACTGACTGGACATCATTTATTGAAATTTTTTGTTGTTGCTGTTGTTTTTTTTTAAAAATGCAGTACCACTACATCAGTTGCATTTTCATTAGTATTTATGTCTCTGTTGGTAGCTTTATGGGAAGGAGATTGTTCAGTTTCCTTTTTCATTGCCAATAGTAAAAAACTTCACATTTACATGTAACTCCTAAGCATGCCCCCACAGCTCCCTTTGTACACTGACATTCTCCTTCAGCTCTCTAATTATTTGCACGTGGACTGTATGTGTGAACTGTAGCTGGCCAACGTGACAAACTGCACGTTTGAGGACTGCAGTTAGTGAATTCTTCTGTGTTTTCATGACATCCTACCAGCAGGTCTTCTAACAGTGTTCAGGTCTACCAATTATTTGACAGGGTTTCCATCTAAAACACAAAACTGAAAACCAACCAACCAAAAAGGCACAGAAATATATTCTACACTCTGAAATCACACAGAACTGTCAGCAAACAGGGTGCTGCAAACTGCATAGGAATGAGCATTGCCTGAGAACTAAAGTGTTCACATTTTGCAGACAAGTGTTCAGAATTTCTTCTGATTCATCTGTGGAGCAGTGATGAAAGAATGAAAAGTCTAAAGAGAAGTGACTTGCTTTGATGCCCTTTTGATGGTCTTCATGAGAAAAGTACCTGGCCTTGCAGATTCACTGAAAATCTTGGTTGTGGCAGCAAGTATACACTGTCTTTGAGATGCTTCTAGATATGGGGGTATATCCACACAGTGTTTGTGAAATACAATATTAGAAAAACTGTCTCACCCGCCCAATTTTTCTGTGATCTCTGTTTTTAGCCTCCTCCTGGAATTTCTCCCATTCCTTCAGCATTTTTGCATCTGGGAAAGAAATTCCATAGATCCGCTGGAGGGACTCCATATCAGCCTTGCCTTCCCAATAAGTAGAAGAATTCTAAATGCAAAAAAATAAATGAAACATTGAATAAAAGGAGAAGCCTCCACATTTTATTAGCACTGTCTGCTATGAAAAGACATGCAATTACTAATAAATGACTATACTTAATGTAAAACAATTAAGGCATAAGGAGAGTTTTCATTTTAAATTGAGAGCACCAATTAGAAGAATCCAGAAAGACCAGGTGAACATAATATGTAAAAATGGTCTTAAGCTCTTGCCTTTTTATTAAGCCTATTTGCTCTCTTTGTAGCCATCCAATTCTGATCAGCTATAACCATCAGCTGAGCAAAATCAATAAACTCTAATTCATACAGTTCAACCAAGCCTTAATCCACACTCACATTCCTATCTGTCCTGGGAGTCCAGGCTCTGGACACCTAGCTGGGTTTCACACCATTTGAGTACCATTCCGGCACACAACCCTTTCCCAGTTGGTTACATGGAGGTTTTGGTAAGGTTACCCGTTTAAAGGTATATTCTTGAGTAAGCCATAATTTTCTTGCCCAAGGATAGAAACACAGTTTCAGTGAAAACATTCCTCTAAGGCAGTTTCAGCACTTACCTTGTGAATTTTTATGGTCTTTATCTTGCCAGTATGTCTGACATGAGGCCCTCTGCATAAATCTATTAAGGGACCACACCTAGGAACAGCAAAACATTCTTTTAGTATATTTCATCCTAGAATGATATATCCAGTAATACTATGATGCACACATAATTAATTACCTGTATACTGTTGTAGTTGGAGTATTGACTTTCTCATTCAGGATGCGACACTTGAATTTGTTATACTGAGAAGAAAGGCAATACAGATTTGTTAACTCTTTGTCAAGCAAGATAACTGGTCAGCAGCTTAAATTCTTTGCAAACCTGATGTTTGGCTGCATCAGAAGAGGATTATAAAAAAAAAAGAGAGACAGACAGACAGTCAAGTAGGGCAGCAGGCTGCCCAGGGAGTAGACTGTGCAGTCTCCCTCTTAGAGTTTTTGAATGCCTAACTGGACAAGCTCCCAGAAACCTGGTCTGGCCTCAGTGCTGACCCCACACCCTTTGCGTGAGATTGGACTAGAGACTTGCAGAATTACCTTCCAAACTGAATGATACCATGATTTTCCTGATGTCCTAACAGTGAGAATTGGGTAATGTCTATCTCAGAAATGCCAGAAGATTATTTGCAGTTAGGTACTAAAGAGGAAGGATCATCTTTTAATGTTCCTTGGACTTTCTCAGAAGTCCTCATTCTAAAAAAATGTTCTATTAAGCTTTCTGAATTCATCATCACATGCAGTTGAAGAATCAATACAGTATTATGCTAACAGCCAATATAATAAGGACATATAAGAATGTATCACCTGAAAAGGTTAATTTGATAGACCTTCCTCTGCCACTAACAAAACATGTGGCTAAAGTTACACATACTTAAAGAATAACTGCATGATGCTAGAAACAACCTTTTAAAATAGCCTACCTTAAACATTTCAAGTAGTGTTTCCTTCTTAACTTCCAGTCTTTCAAAGGCTTGTTTTTCCTTCATTATCTTTTTGCACAGTGCTTCCAAAGCAGAGAAGTCATTACTTGATACACCCCTAAAACAAACACACACACAAAGTGAATCATTCTTGCTTTCACTTGAGTATCTGATCCAGCTGCAATGCACCAGCTTGTGGGTGAGATGCACTGCAAAGAACAAGGCAATCTGCAGTTAGTGCAGATGACTTTGTCAGGGAACAAGCAGATGACAGAAACTTTGCAGTGATTGCTGTCCCCCTACTCCTCAAAAAGAAAAATACAAAACCTACCCTTCCTCAAGGAACATGTCGTAATAAAATCCATTTTCTATGGGTGGGCCATAACACAAACAGCCACCATAGATTCGCTCCATAGCTTCACCCATGATGTGAGCACTTGAGTGCCAGTACACCTGATGGAAGTAAAATAGAGGGGATCAGTGTGAATACACACAATGCATTTCTGAGTATTTTATTCAAAACCATTTCCAAAATGCTTTCTTTTAAGGACAATTGATGCAGATCTCACATTAGAGGAGCCTGCAGAACAGAAGTGGCCTGCCCAGCAACACTGTCATCTTAAGCACCACTATTTCCAAAAGATAGCACTTGAAAATTGCTTACAGCCTGGTAGCAAGTAACTTTTACTTTCAGCTATTGTTGAAATGATTCAGTTACTGTCAAGAAGTCAGTAAACTAATTCAGAAACTTTTTTTTTTTTTTTACTATGAACTTCAAACAATCCACTTTGCAAAAAGACCACAAGGTACACTTTGAACTTAAGTCCTAATCCTCAGATTTTATAAATGGAAAATTTTTAAAAAATGAAACCAAAATCTATAGGACAGGACTTTAGTCTGCTTTTATTTGCACAGACTAGAAAACACAGATCGCACAGGAATAATCATTTAGCCAGTATGAAGCTTGTATACAAGAACTTTGTGGTGCGTTTGTACCAAATAATTTTTTCTAAAGAAAGTAGTGATAAATTTGCTGGATATCCACATTTATCTGAACAAATAGCCAAAATAAAATACATACTCTTGCATGTTCAAAGTCAAATAACAGCCTACTCAGTATTTTTAGAACTGTTCATAGACAGTAATTTTGTACTCAGTATTCTTTTCAAAGACATTGCTGAAGAGGTCACTCCAGAAGACCTACTTTAAATTAACATGAAGGTTGCAAATATAAAATTTTAAAGAGAACAGACTTGACATAAACTACAGCAACTGCTAGCAGTCTTGGCTACCAGTAATATTCATAATCTACAGTACTGCAACTCCCTTGTAAGAAACATTAGAAAATGCAGGTGCACCTACACAGCAAACCTGTTCCTGTCTTCTTATCTTTTGAGCACAGTAATGATGCAAATAACTACTCATGGCTGAGTTTTATGCAAATCCAACAGCAAGCAAATTTTGGCAGAAGATACTCACTGCTTGAGCTTCTTCATCTTCAAACTTAAGCAGCTCCAGGGTACAATCCTCCTCCAAAGGACGGTCTAGATCCCAAACCATCTTGTTCACTTTAGCAATAACGGTGTTGTCAGCTAAGCCCTGACTACAGAATAAACACATGATATATAATTGTTTGAAATCAGAGCATGGGAGTTCCCCAGATTTACCCTCCATGTTGAGTAAGATTTTCAGGAGAGCTCAGAGTAAGCACAATGTCATAAACAAATTCCAAAGCAATGAGCAGTGTAGCTAGTTTTGAGTATTTATGAAAAATCCTACTCACATCCCAGAGCTAATGGAAGAAAATTGTGCTGCCTACTTGACATTCATATATTCATGAACATCTCTGACTTAGGAGACAGCCACCTGAAAGCACTAACCTGACTTCAAAATCCTATTGCAATAGAAAACAAAGATTCTCTTTTAAAAACTATCAAATACCACTTCTGATGTAGTAACTTGACAGTTCTGTTTCCACTAGGAAAAAAACCTGAATCACAAAACTGAAGACAGTTCTAACAAGGTACCTAAGCTTGGAGAAAAAAAAAAAAAAAAAAAAAAAGCAAGCATTTAACCTCTAGGAATCACCCAGTTCCCATAATCTTAACTGTTACTGGGTCCAGTATCCACTGTTTAAATCTACTCCACAGCAACTCTGAGTAACCCAGAGATAAGCAATGCTAATTTGATAGGTATCTCCCATGCAAGTAAAAATGCAGTTTACTGAAAAATCCTCATACTCTTTAAGTCTCCCCAAAATCAACTGAAACATCATCCAGCAGTCATCTTCACCAGGTCGATGTGAGCTGATTTGCGTGTGCCAACATTCAATTTGATAGAGTAAATTTATTGGCAAATTAGTTCTTAATGCAGCAATAGTACTTGTAAGGGAAAACATGCAAGTAATGTGCATAAATTATCTTACGTTTTTATTTAGTTTTAGAAACTGTATCTTCATAAAGCAAAAAAAAATAACACTCCGAAACTAAAACACTTTTGGTTGCCTCCATCTTATTACACACAAGATGCCTTGAGAAAAGCTGAGATAACTAAGAGAGAAATTGTACATCACCCATACCCTCATAGCCACAACCTGCAGCAAAGAGCCGTCTGAACACAACAGAATCACATCACAGAACAGAATCATACCTAATTCCACAAGCAATTTGATAAGGAGTAGTCTTCCAGGATTCAGCATCAACCTGCTTGCCATCAGGTAAGGTAACTTTAATGGGCTTACTGTCATTTGCAGCCCTTTCTGCAAGAAGTGCATCATGTTCAGCTTTAAGCTTATTATACATCTCTAAACGGTCATTGATAAATGCAGGCCAGGGGTTCAGCTACATATAATGAACAAAGAAAAAGAAAAGAAAAATCAAGAGGGTAATCTAATACCACATTTTGTCAAAATGCAAACAGAATGGGTGTATTTTTCACAAGCAGCTGTGTGACCTGTCTATATATACGCTATATCTATCAAATAATGATGGTTGGACTTGGTGATCCCAAGGGTCTTTTCCAACCTGAATAGTTCCATGATTCTAAATAGTCATTATTATTACAGATGAACTGCATAGTATTAATTATATGGTAATAAGACTTCAGCTTAATAAAAATTATTACTCTGAAATGGACTACTGTACCCCTGATTAATAAACTACATGTACAATAGTAATTTATGACATGGTTCATTAAACAGAGGGACAAAAACGAATTTGAGATGACCACAGAAGTTTTTTTTATGTTTCCACATAGATTTTTCTAATTTGGTCAAAAAACTGAGGGAAGACCTCTACTCTGAGCCACCCGGAAAGGAACTGGCTCAGCCTCCACGTCATATGCTGACATCAGGGCTCCCAGCTCGGCCACAACCAAGGTTATCCAGCCAGGCTGCTGGCTCAGGATCAGAGCTGGCTCGCAGCTGGGCCTCCCTCTGCACAGCCAGAGGGATCCGTGTTCACCCACCAGGTATGTGGACAGAGAAGGCAGCTCCTGGTGATCTGCTGCCCACCTCCTGGTGCAAACAGAGGCACAGGGAAACGAGCAGCTACGGAAATCAGAGCCCATTACACCGGCAACGTAGTCACTGGGTGGCAAGCCTCAGTAAAGCAAGGAATAGCGAGACAAGGAGTGACTGTAGGGGCAGACAAAACACTCCCAAGGGACGAGCTGCAGCAGGACAGGACAGCAACCAGGAGACCACCCCTTCCAACCCCCACGGCTCCAGGGCCGCTCACCTCCGTCCTCCCTCCATCGCCTGCCCCGTCCTTCATCTTCTTCTTCCCGCAGTCTGCCTTCTTCTCCCCCCCGGCGCTCACCTGAGGAGGGGGAAGCACCGTGTCCTCATTCTCCCGCAGCCGCTCACACCTGAGGCGCGTCCACGCG